CAAGTCCAAATCGTCCGAGCTAAACACATCGGAATAGCTCGATAATAATTTATGAATCGCACAACGCTGCTCGGTGGAAAGGGCCGAATTTTCCCCACATAATTCGGCGATCCAACGATCATCAACCCCTCCATCGTGTGAAACACCACCCACAAGCCCCCCGTCCGGCAGGTCACTCTGAGCCGTAAACGCCGTAGTGGCATGTGCCACAACGGTACCAGCCGGCACACACACGCTTTCAGCACTCGCATTTAACACCTGCAAAAACGGGCGCTGATCTGGACGGACAATAGTTTGCGCCCCTACCAGCGCTAAGCCGCCCGTAACCGCGGCGGACGGCGACAGCAAAATCCCAAAAGCACCCTGCCGACCCGGAACCGGCTTCCGGTATCGTAAGGGAATGAGCATCTGAGAGCCAGGTGAAATATCAACCGAAACTTCCGATAGCGCCTGCACCTGGGCGACAGGAGCCGGTCGCCCCCAGGCGGACTGTAAAAATTCCAATTTCCGGCCCCCCGGTAGTTCTATGCAATTTTCATTGATTCTAATTAGAATGGGCATCTTAGCCAAAAAATCCGTACCCAACAGGCAAGGAACCGCCAGGGACCTCGAAATCAACACAACGCCCGAGGCCGAGACACCCCCGATAGAAATGTTAGCGTCCACCTGTCCCACGATGGCCATACTACCCCCGTTCGCAGCGATGCAGGAAGCGTAAGCCGGCCTCACGGCCCCCGGTGGGATGTTCAAAAGATGGAATATCACATCCGAAATAATGGTCGCGGACGCACCGGAATCCACCAAAATACGTACGTCCACCCCTTGGATGGACCCAGGTACAGTGGACGAACCGGTAGCGGCCGCGACAACCCGCCGAGCCAGCTTACGCCACTGCGTTATCGAGCGACAAGGCTCAGATACTGGCCTCCCGTATTTTACAACATCCGCGTCGCATAACAACGGCGATGAGTGAGGTGTCAGGCCTTGCCGGGTGTCTGGTGCGCACCGACTTGCCTGTGCCGGAGGGTCTTTCTTTGGGGCGTCCGCTGTCGAGGCCTCCTGCTGGGGCGGCCCCGGAACCCGGGCCCAGCAGTCCCTGGCATAGTGGCCCCGACGGCCGCAGCGGAAGCAGTCGACGTCGGGGCGGCGCGCAGCGGGCACCCCGTCCCGACGCGGCCGCGCCGGCGGCGGAGCCCGCGGCCCTGGCCCGCTTCGAGCCGGCCACGGAGTGGAGGCGGCCGACAACTCCTTTGGGCCGGTCGCATCCGGCACGTACACGGCCTTCGTAGGGTCCCACCCTACGGCCCCCCCATCGACGACAGGACCGCCCGTCCACGCTGTCACCTGTTTCCAGCGGCGGAGATTGAACTGGGCGTCCAAACACTTGGCCGCGGTCCGGGACGTGAGTTTTTCGTGACCGCACGCCGGCATAGGAATGCCGAGATCTCGGGACAACTCCAACATCTTCCCCAAGATGAGTGGTTCCAGCAGGTCAGGCTCCGTCTCCGGGTAAGCGGCCATAGCGAGTTCCAACACGGCGCCCCTGTACGCTACAGGTGACTCCTCAGGTGCGCGTTGCCGCTGCACGAATCGGCGATGGGCGTCATCCGGTGGCTCGTACGCGTCCGCCATTTCCTCGAACACCCCTCGCAGAGTTTTCTTCTTCGCAGCTTTTATAGAGCGAAAAAAACGAACGGACTCATCATCAAGAAGAGTCGGAAGCACCTCCAGTGCCTCAGCGTCCGTCCACCTTGCCGTACGTACCGCCGCCAAAAATCTACAGGCGAACGCACTCCAATCGCCCCCGATGGAGAACTCTTTGACGGTTGTAAGGTGACGACTGCGGCCCCTTGGCCTGCTTCCGTCCGTCGCTGACTCTTCCGGCGGTAAGTTCAGCAAGGCGTCGCAACGCGGTGTCGCCAAGATGGCGGACGATCCTCGCGGCGGCTCCAAAATGGCGGCTTCCCGCCTTCCGTGGTGCGCCACGCCCAAGATGGCGTCTTCACGCCGCGTGGCCGATGGCGGCGCCATCGAAGACGACCCGGGCTCCTGCCGATCACCACCATCACCTTCCAACGCCGCCCTTGGCGTGACAAGGTCACACAACTCTGTGATGACGGTTTTTAGGGTTGCCAGTTGCTCCGCCATCCGGGTCCATCTTAAATCTTCGTCCTTCAACGCAGATGGGTCGGACGAAGGGGCCACCTCCTCGACGCCCGGGCCCTCACGGATCTCTCCCTCCGCCGAAGTGAAGCCGACCGCAGGAGGAAGATCGTCGTCGTCCGAAGATGAAGCCGACGCCGGGGATGGAATATTCTTGTTCCTCAGTTGTTTCGCCATGCCGTTTCACTTCTGACTCCAGTGTAATAAAAGGACTCGGACACTTCCTTCTGTCTTCGTATCTTTTATTGGGTTCTCGTCTTCACCCACACGGCACTCTGTTATAACTCTGTATTTGTAGCCCCCGGCTATTCACTGCTATTATAGCTTCTTCTTCCCTCTGACTCTCTGCTTCATCTACTGTAACCTCCTCCCTGCAGACTCGCTGCTACCTCTATGCAGACTCCCGCTGCTACCCCTATGTGCAGACCCTCTGGCTGCTACCGTATGCAGACCCGCTGCTGACTCTGTATGCAGCCCCGCTGCTGACTCTCTGTGCAGCCCCGCTGCTGACTGCAGCCTCCTCGCTGCTTCGGGTCGGTCACCGCTGGCCAACGGTGCCGATCCTCGCTCCCCCGTGTTCGTGGCGATCTCGCCACCCCCCGCTTCGCCCTTCGTGGCCTCTCTCTGTTCCTGGTTCCCCGTCACTCCTCGTCCTCTTCCGGTTCCCCTCCTTCTATAGCCTAACCCCTCACCCCCCCACGTGACCTAACTCCTCCCCTCCTGACGTCACCTCCGGAGGGCCGTTTACGCCCGCATTACATATGTATGTACATTGTATGTATGTACATTGCATGTATGTACAATGTATGTATGTACAATGTATGTATGTACACTGCATGTATGTACAATGTATGTATGTACATTGTATGTATGCACAATGTATGTATGTACTTTGTATGTATGCACATTGTATGTATGTACATTGTATGTATGCACAATGTATGTATGCACAATGTATGTATGTACATTGTATGTATGTACAATGTATGTATGTACATTGTGTGTATGTACATTGTATGTATGTACATTGAACTTCTGTCGCAACGTGCGTAGCCAACCGTGCTCATCGTATGTGTCCGGGAAGGACAGCAATGACTGCACACACACACACAAACCATCATTAATTAAAATTAATATTTTCGCTAAATTCAGCTTTTTCCGCCTCTGAGAATTAAACGTTTTGATTTGATTGGCATGCCATGCAAGCTCTGTGTGGGGCATATAAATTGTATAAATAATATAAATTGTATAAATAGTCCACGCGAATGAGGCATATTAAAAAGTGTGGAATTGACTTTATTATTTTTACGACGTTTAATGGGCACATAAATATTAAGCACGAGTGAACCGTGAATTATTCCGTGGCCAAACATCGAGAGCAGACGACATTGGCGTGTGCGAGCGCACTTGTCTAAACACGTTTAGACTCGGACAGCCTCGTTCAGACTCGTCAAGCAGCTAACCATCTACACAGCGAACTATGTATGAACATCGTTCATAGTGCCATGATGGCTCTGAGATGTTAACTATCTCGCCTGGTATACAGGAGGTCGTGGGTTCGATTCCGACCCTGACGCCTGCTGTATATTTGGAGTTTGCGTGTCTCTCTCTTTCTCTCCCCGTGGTCGCGTGGATTTTTCTTCGGGTCCTCTGGTTTTTGCTTCACACATTTAGAATCAACATCACCACGCGTTTATACATTTCCATGTGATAAGCCACTTCGTTGAGCAATCATCTGTGGGCAGGTCGCTTCTCAAAAAGAGCTACATAGCTCAGTGGGCCTTACCTGGTAAAATTACAAATAGTAAAATAGTTATGTATCGACGATTACATCAAAATCCACGTGTCAGCCTGTATCCACTCGTGGGTAGAGTGGTGGCGCAGTGATTAGCTCACCGCGCTCCGCACCGGGTACTCACCCGGCGCCGGGTAACATCGGTGGCGAGCGATATTTGAGGCTCCCCACTCACCCCTCCCGCACCTGCTACCTCCTCCCCTTCCCTTCTTTCACCAGCCTGCACTTGCAATGACCAGCGTGGAGAAGTATGGCCAAATCCACCCCTCCCCCACCCCCTCCATGACCAGGCACAGTGTCGGGGGAGGCCGTTATCCGGGGGTTGATTTACAAATTGCCCTTCAATGTTTAATTACACGCCGTCTCTTCGCCGCGCGTGCTGCGTGCTTCTTTTAAGAGCGTCCGCTTGACCTGACGAATCTCCCCGCCACGCGGAGCGAAACGTCGGACATCGTTCGCGGAAGCCGAACAGGAAAACAAGGGCCCGTTGGGCGAGCAGCCACCCGGGGATAAATCTCACGGCAGAAGATAACTCGCAGAAGAAGATAACTCTCACGGCAGAAGATGATAATTCTCACGGCAGAAGATGATAATTCTCACGGCAGAAGATGATAATTCTCACGGCAGAAGAGGATAACTCGCAGAAGATAACTCTCACGGCAGAAGATGATAATTCTCACGGCAGAAGATGATAATTCTCACGGCAGAAGAGGATAACTCGCAGAAGATAACTCTCACGGCAGAAGAAGATTACTCGCAGAAGATAACTCTCACGGCAGAAGATTTCCGTACCCGCGTCTAACGTCACACTCGTCAAGCTGGCTTGGAAATAAAAATTTTTTTTTTTTTTAAATTTCTGACAACCCAATAATGTTACGTTTCACTCCGCATATAAAAAGGACATGCTGTAATGGATTAAAATTACGCACTGATTAAAGGTCTTATGCGGGGGAGGGGGGGTGATTGATGATTGAGAGAGGAATGTGCGTCGTTCTCGTCGTCTTAAGCCTCACACTCTGTCGTCTGTCTCCCTCGCCGCCAGGATTCGGGAATGGATCAGCGGAGAGCTGATTTTGAGAAGATCTTCGCCCATTACGACGTGGTGAGTATTCACTTTCGAATACATCCCGCGTCTGTTTTTTTACCGCGTTAAGCAGCAATCGTCATATTCTTAGGTTTTTTCGGTAAAGTCACGTAGAATGAAAATTATAAAATAATAAAAATAAAACATTATAAAATAATTCTCACGACGTTTCGGCCACAACGCAAGCAGCCGTCTGCTTGCGTTGTGGCCGAAACGTCGTGAGAATTATTTTATTGTTTTATTTTTATTATTTTATTATTTCCCTTCTACGTGACTTTACCGAAAGAACCAAGAAGATGAATCCCTGCAGTCACGAAAGCTTTAAATCGAAATTTAATTATTTTATTATGTTTTATTTTTATTATTTTATTATTTCCCTTCTACGTGACTTTACCGAAAGAACCAAGAAGATGAATCCCTGCAGTCACGAAAGCTTTAAATAGCAATTGTCATCATTACCGCCACTTGATGAAGGCCCCTTCCCCCCGCACACTGTCAGTCATAGGGGCGGTGGGGGGGGGGGTGTTTTGACCATACTTCACCACTCTGTTCAATGTGATTTGATTAAAAGGGGAGGCTTCAAGCTTGCCGCGTGGCGCGCTAAACCGGTGTACGCACACCGCCGCCACCCTGCTTACTCTACCCGTACCCACAGTGACCCCGCTTACGTCACGGGGTATCCCTTAAGTACCCTAGGAGACGTGACGTCATCGCACTGAACGGCACGCATGACGTCACGTCCCCATTTTACTCCTCTACACATGCATTGCGTCGTCATCGTGAGCCGTGGTGAATCCACTGCTGCTGGCTGGATGAGGGCCTCCCAAAGCCACCTCCGGCAAATCCCTGCGATGTAAAAATAAAAAATAAATGATAAAAAATTATAATAATAATCCCCTTCATCTTCTTGGTTCTTTCGGTAAAGTCACGTAGAAGGGAAATAATGAAATAATAAAAATAAAACAATCAAATAATTCTCACGACGTTTCGGCCACAAGGCAAGCAGCCGTCGTTGTGGCCGAAACGTCGTGAGAATTATTGTATTTGTATTATTTTAATAATTTTATAATTATAAATTTAATTATTTTATTATTTTCCTTCTACGTAACTTTACCGAAAGAACCAAGAAGATGAATCCCTGCAGTCACGAAAGCTTTAAATCGAAATAATATTAATCCCGTACCGATAGTTTACGCGGAGGAAATAACTGAACGGCGGGCGTCTCGAGAGAAAACAAAAACACGTTTTGATTGGCGGGACAACGGCTGGTGCAACGCTTCGCTCGAGAATCGAAGGAGAAAAAACCACTTCGTGTCAAAACCGAACCCACTCGCCAAATCTGACAGCTGCGAAGAGACAACTTCAAGCGCCCGCTCCGATTAATTGACCGCAGCGCGTGGCGCTGAGGATTGTATTTTTAAAATTATTTTTTTAAATATATCTATTTTTTAATCTCCTTATCTCCCCCCGATTTTCAATTCGTTTTAAATGGGGATTTTGGCGTTGACGGACTGCAACCGCGATGGGCAGAAAGCCGTTCTTGTCTGTGTTTCTCTGGTAGCTCGTTAGGGCTCCACGATTAAATAAATTGCCTCTCACACTTTTACCCCGACTCTGGGCAGCGCGGGCAACATGTGAAATTCGTTTGTCGATCTCGATGATTTAAAAGTGGCACAGATCCCCATGGCTTTCGAATATCGGAAGGAAGAGCGTTCCAGACGGCCGCCGAAAGCGCATCTGAAAGCGCCGGCGACGATGCTGTGACCACTGCGGTTGTTCGACGGCTGAGCCGAAAGCCGCCGCTGCTGCTGCTGCTGCGGGGATGACCCGAAGTTTCGCGTGATGGTGCTTTATGCTCCTTGGCAAGGTGGCATTGTGTGGTTCATTTGTGTGGTTAATTTGTGTGGTTCATTTGTGTGGTTTATTCGTGTGGTTCATTTGTGTGGTTTATTTTTGCGGTTTATTTGTAGTTCATCTGTGTGGTTTATTCGCGTGGTTAATTTGTGCGGTTCATTCGCGGCGAGCACCGCGTGCGTGCGATGGGTGCGCAAGGAAGGGACTGCCGATCGACGGTCGTTGGGCAACAGGCTGGGGGGAGGGGGGGGGCAGCCAGAGGGGGAAGGATCCGAGGCCCAAACACGAGAGTGGGGGAAGATTGCAGCGTCGCTGTCGAGTGTGCAGGCTGTACAACTGCACTGGGAGCGAGGCTCACGTAGGCCGGGGGGTGGGGCAGGCGCTGGGCTACGAGGAGGGGGGGGGACTGGGAAGTGCTCCCCCCTCCCCCCCACGGCTTCTCCCCATTTCGTTTGCTTCCTTGAACCGGGGTCCATGCCACCCACGCTACGCCCCGACGTCGTTCGTCCACCCTTCTCCCGCTGCTGCTGCTGCTACTCCCAGAGGGCGGCTGTCTCCAAGCTGCCAGTTGGCATCTTTTCATTAGCCCCCTTCACAAAGACAAAGATCCACCCCCCTTCCCGTATAGCCTCGACAGACTTTCACAGGCAAGTGCTGTTAGCGAGCACCTAATGAAGGCCGCCACGGTACACGGAGGGGTGGGTGGGCGGCCAGCACCACGCCCGGCCGCCTTTGTCTCCCCCACGACGTTTACACGCCGCAAACCAATAACAATTGTTTTAAGGCCGAGCCGAGCTATGGGAGACCCAAGGCCGGCAAAGACAATCGTCGCCGGCGTCGGCCGCGAGTGGCGAGTCGAGCTCGGGGTCGAGCCGGGTTCGCGGCGCTAACTGCTGCGCCACCGCTCCGCACACGCCACGAGCCCCGTTTGACTGGCAGGCGAGACGGCTCTTGACGCCGCTCGTGCTGGATGACCACCCGAGTCTCTCCAAGTTGGGGGAGTCCGGGTCCCGAGCCATCCTCAAGGCAGAGCCACGCAACGCGGGAGTTTGTTGTTTGATGTCAGTGTGAACCTTGTTTGCGTCGACTAAAGCACGCGTTTTCACGTCCGGGACAAAGATATGAACAAAGTAGCTACTTCTTCTTGGTACTTTCGGTAAAGTCACGTAGAAGGGAAATAATAAAATAATAAATATTAAACATTATAAAATAATCTTCTTGGTTCTTTCGGTAAAGTCACGTAGAAGGGAAATAATAAAATAATAAAAATAAAACATAATACAATAATTCTGACGACGTTTCGGCCACAACGCAAGCAGCCGTCCTCGGGTGAAGAACAGGTCTGTCGGAAAGACAGCGTCTTGACGCGTAGAAGGGAAATAATAAAATAATAAAAATTAAACAATAGAATTCTCACGACGATTCGATTGCAACACAAGTAATCGTCATCATCAGGTGTGAAAACCACAGCAAGAAAATTGGAATCGAAACGTCGTGAGAATTATTTTATTGTTTTATTTTTATTATTTTATTATTTCCCTTCTACGTGACTTTACCGAAAGAACCAAGAAGATTAATCCCTGCAGTCACGAAAGCTTTAAATCGAAAAGTAGCTACTATACTTCTAGATCTAAATGTGGCAGTCAGTCCCTGACTGCCACGTTTAGATAAACTCCTCCCCCCTCGCCTGAACCAGTATTTAAGATCTTGTCTCTTGGATTTATCTTCACTTGATACAGTAAATTTTGCTGTGACGGTCCCACATGAAGACGGAGACTTGTGTTGCCTCCGAAACCTCGTGATTTAATTGAGTTATTTTCATTTATTATTTTTATATATTTTTATTATTTTACCTACGTGACTTTACCGACAAAAACCTAAGAGTACGGTGACGTCACGTCGGTATAAAATAAAATGATAAAATAAAACGGCAATTTATTTGATTTTCTACCTACGTGACTTTACCGATAGAACCAAAGAGTATGGATTCCTGCACTCACGAAAGCTTCAAATCTAAAGTATCTACTGCATAATCCATAATATACCTTATTTTTCGGGTTAGATAGCATAACTATATCAGTGTGTCGTTAAACCCGCCACCACCCGACACAGCCAATTAGTGAGGTTTGTCACGTCAACAGAACGTGTCAATTCGTCACGAGCGCAGCATGCCGCCGTGTTTACACGCCTCGCCAGGAACTCAGAGAGCGAGTTGACCGAGGAAGAGACCCAGAACCTTTTGAGATAATGGTCACGGATGTTGGTGGCCGTGAGCGGGAATCGAACTCGGGTTCGCCGGGTACGTAGCGGAACGTAGCGTAGCGCTAACCACTACACCACCGCTCCCTCACACGGCCGGACACAAGCAAGGACACGCGCGCGCACACACGGTGAGACGCGCAACTGCAAAAGCGACTCCCTTTGTGTTCAGGCATCAAACGTGCGGCATGCGTGTGCGTGCGTGTGCGTGCGTGTGTGTTCGTGTGTGCGTGCGCGTTCGTGTGTGTGTGTATGTGTGTGCGTGGGGAGCGGTAGTGTAGCGGTTAGCGCGCTGCGCTATGAACCTGGCGACCCGGGTTCGATTCCCGCTCACGGCACAACACCAGTGACGATTATCTGAACCGGTCCTGGGCCTCCCCTAGGTCGACTCAGCCTTAAATGAGTACCTGGTGCGGTGTGTAAACATCGCCACTGGGGAGACAAAGGCGGTCGGGCGTGGTGCTGGCCACCCACCCCCTCGTGTACCGTTCCGGCCTTCATAGGTGCTCGCTAACAGCACTTGCCCCTACAGTCTATTAAGGCTATACGGGGATCTTTGTCTTTGTGTGCGTGTGTGTGTGCGTGCGTGTGTGTGTGTGCTGGTTACTTGTGGGGAGTGGTGGCGCGCTAACCGTTTTGGCCTTCATAGGTGCTGGCTAACAGCACTTGCCCCAACAGCCCGCGAAGGCTACACGGGGGGTCTTTGTGTGATTGTTACTTGTGGGGAGCGGTGGCGCAGCGGTTAGCGCGCTGCACTGCCAACCCGGCCATGCGAGTTCGATTCCCGCTCACGGCCAACACCGGTGACGATTATCTGAACCGGTCCTTGGGCCTCCCCCTAGGTCGACTCGGCCTCAAATGAGTACCCGGTGTGGTTGGTAAACATCGCCACTGGGGAGACAAAG